TTTGGTTTTGAGGAATACGTTTATATGAGCAATAAATTTTATTTCAGATCTGAATCTTTATACGTTCTTTACCACTGAGTTTTGATTTCCCTCGTGAACTGTTACAAATAGCCCGGAAACCCCATGCTGCAGATCTGTTCTCCCAGTTATTTGTCTTACTTTTAATTTGTCAAACGACTTGATTTATTTAGCTTTCCCTTGTGCTGTGTATTACAGTTTGGGCGACTGTATGCATCATACAAATCTCCAGAATGCTGTAATCTTCTTCCCCTTCCCCCCTCCCCTTCCTCCCTGTTGTCATAGCTCCCTGCTTTCCTTATCTCCCCTTTTACTGCCGCAGCTTTCAGATGATAATTCCCTGCTCTCAACCAGCTGCTGCATAACGGCTGAGTGAGGCTGAGCTCCCTCACTGTTGACCCACCGTTGGAATGAACAAAGACATCGGTGCTTTGCCTGCAGGCTTACCTATGCGCTCTGAGTGTGTGAGGGTTAATCACAAGGAGGTGAAACACAGCCGTGGCCTTAGCGGCCCCTCGCCAGCTGCTGTGGGCAGGAGCACACCGGGGTAGTGGTGGAACTAAAAGAGTTGCTGGAGGTTCTTGTTCGTGAAGGTCACTATTTCCTCACTGAAAGATTTTTATTTTTTTTCCTCCTTTTTCCCTGCTGTTCACTTCTCTGTGCTCCCATGGCCAAAAGCACTGTGGTCTGTCTGCCAGGAGCAGGTGGGATGACGCATTGCATGTGGTCATGCTGCTTGCTGCCAAACCCCGCAGGTGATGCAGAGACCCTGCTCATTTCCTTCCATTTCCTCCGGGGGAGCAAGCCAATGTTCTTCTAATCTTTTACACAGGGAGCCCTAGGCCACCGAGCTGAGCTAGGAAGTGTCCTGCTGGTTTGGAACACACAGCCTGGAGGTCATAGCTTGTTGTAGGGGTAGGTCAGCAGTGGCAGCCTATCTGTGATTCACAGATAGCAGGGCTGTCCCTAAATTAGCTGCTGTTGCTCACAGTGCTGGGCTTTAAAAAAAGCTGCTATCTTCGTCAGATGTTTGAAATGTTAATGTCTGCTGAGAATCCTGTACAGTAAGTTTGAAGCATTAGTCTAGCAAGGAAATACATATTTAAAACAACCCTTTTATCTTCACCAGTATGTGAACTTGTCTTACTGTGAGGTGCTCCTTTCCAGTAGATCATCCCCTAACCTGTACTGGTGCATGTAGAGTTATTCCTCCCCAGGTGCAGTATTCTATACTTGCACTTGTTAAGCCTCATCATGTTCCTCCCTGCCCAACTTCCCCATCTGTCCAGGTCTTGCTGAATGGTAGCACAGTCTTCAGGTGCATCAGCCAATCTTCTCAACTTTTTATCATCAGCAGGCCTTGAAGATGGTTAATTTGAAAGCAAGTCATTGCTGGACATTTTTGGTATTGCTTAGTTTGCTCTTACCTGACCTTATTTTCATTTTTTTTCTTTCTCTTATTCCTCTGCCAGTGTGTTTGTGACTTCAGTGGATACTGCTTCTCAGGAATATAAAGGATGAGTATTCCTGTGTTGGTTTTATTTCATTAAGATTAGGTCATAAACACCTTTTGAACAGAGTTCTCCTCTCACCAAGGGCTGACAGCTCAAGTGGTTTAGAATGACCTGAGTTTATTACTGTGGCCCTTATTTATGCATTGGGATTTAAGTAGATGGATACAGAAGTCAGTTGTGCTGTGAAATGAGAGTATGGATTTAGTAGCTGAAAACCATTACATGGGTGAAATGGATCTCTGAGGCATTTAGCTTGATGTTTAGGGAACATCACTAATGGGAAAATCAATATAGCTCCTATGAAATGAATTTGAGAACTGTCTAATTAATAGCCTCTAATACAATTATAAATGAAGAATTACCATCTAACATACATCTTCCTAAAGGGTATTTGCTGCATTGATACCTGCTCACGTTGTTTAACATTTCATTAATTGCTCAGGAGAGGCCATTATATAATTGACGGGAAAGTTTGCTTCCTGTTGAAATTTTAGCTGCAGCAAATCTGCTGGCTGTGACCGAAAGGGCTGCTGTGCTCCTGGGGGTGCGTGTAGTGCTGCGCATAATGCAAGGCAGTTTGATCAGATCTGCTTTAGAATATAGCATGTGTCCAGGAGATTGATAGGTGAGATGTTGAAACATAGGAGAGGAGAGAGAATAACATGAGAATGATGTTATTGACCTGTTTTCCTGTTCCTGAGTAAGAGGTGTAAGGGGAATCGGTCTGCTCACCTTCTGGAGTTCATTGATTTCCAGTGAACTTTTATTTACTGTAAGGAGTTTCATAGCATAGTCCTGCTCTTACCTTCATTTAATACTTTATGTTTTATGTTATGTTATGCTTTATGTTAATACTTAAAAGGCATATTTGCTTGTGGTCACTTCTGTGGAATTTGAAATCAAAGGGCCGATGTTTATTTGCTTTAAATCTTTTGCTAGAAGGATTTGGCTTATCTGTGTCCTGATGCAGCATGACTTATGCAGTTGCACAGTCACATCCTGACTGATGTTATCCCTAAGTGTCGTGGGGGAAGGTAGGGGGTGGATGAATGGGAGGGTAAAACATCCTTGCAGGTGGTGTGTCTGCAGAGTTGTTTGCCTGTGCAGCAGGGAAAGATGCGCTGGAAGTATTTTTCCATGTGGACTTGCTTAGTGTCTGTATATGCCTGTCACACAATGTTTAAAAGACAGTGGAGTTATTCTCGAGCTAATATATTTTGTTTGCATATTTAGGTTCTAAGAGCTATGGCAAGGATGTGCAAGTCTGAATTCATGCTATGTTTCTGCAGTTTGAAAAGTGGGTTATACTGCTGTCATGGGAAGTAATTTAATGTGCAGGCTTTGTTTTGGTAACGGTGTGCAATATGAAAATAACTGAGCTCATTACTCGCATCTCAAAATTCAGCCTTGGCTCTGTCAGTTACCAAAGTACTGCATGGATGTCCTTCTGGCCATGCTGAAGGGAGAAGCTGCTGAGGGACTCTCAGATCCAGATGAGATGTTTCAAGGGTCAGCTCTTAGGTCTGCATGTAAATAGCAGGACGGAGAAGGCAGTCCATCACACACGCGACTTATTGTGAAAACCTGCAGTTATCCCTCTTCTCTAGAAATCCCACGAAGCTCCTCATGAAACATCTTGAGATAATTTCGTTTAGTTGGAAGGGCTTCTTGGGTGTACTATGAAATCAGCATGAGGATGTCGTGGCCCTTTCATTAAAAAACAAACGACCTACTGGCTGTGACAGTGCCGAGGCTTCCTGTTGGAATGGCTCTATATAAAACCACAAGGAAGCAAACATTTGTCTTATCCTCTCATTGTGCTGCTTCCTGTGGGGCAGATTGGATGCACACCCTGGATACAGGCATTTTTTACGACCTCAAACACATTGTAAGGCCCAATCAGCTCCTCCTGGGTCCCTCATAGTCCCAGCACAACAGGAAACGGGGCACACTCGCATCCTGCTGTGCTTTGCTTAGCTGGCCTGGCAGAGCCCTGGCTGAAACCAAGCTCAGAATGAAGGTGAGCTGAAAATGTAGTTGTGGTTATGATTATTTCTTACATTTCTGTAAGTTTTAGCTATAGTTTATAATGTTTTTCTTAAATGTACCTTTTTAATAATTCTCTCCCCCTCTGCCTGACCCCTTCCCCCCAGTACCTTTCTGATTCAACGTCAATGCAGGTGCCTGTGTCTATTTCCATTCTTTTTTAGGCTCAGGGCCACTGTTTCAAATACTCTTTACAAGTACTCCTTTGAACTATCTGTAGCACAGTGAAACTTGGTGGAAGTTATCTGACTTAGTTAATGCAAGCGGGAACTGCTTGGTGCCTGTCAGCTCTGCCTGCGACCATGGGATCCTCGGGCTGTCTGCCAATTGGGAGATGCTAGCAGCAGATGATCCTTTGGTGTTTGTCAGCCTGTGATGTGGTTACTTTTAAAAGCTTCCACAAAAGCTTTCACTGCTCCATTTCAGCTGCTTCCCAATGCTCCGTTCTCTCTCCTGGGGCAGCAACCTCTCCGTCCTGTAGGCTGCTGGAGGATGGGTGCGGGGCTGTGGATCTGCTGGTGGGATGTGGCTATGATCAGGAAAACAGCCAAGTTCTTGCTGACTTTTTTAGTTAACGGTTGGGACACTGCAGGAAGCTGAATTTTTTATTTATGAATTTTTTGTTTGTTTCTGAAATTAGTTGGGACAACAGTGATAGCTACCTTTTTGCTGTCCTCTTTCTCATCTTACACAAGGGAATACTGTTACTCCTTTGAATCAATGCAGAATCAGTTGCGAGAGCTATTTTCATGACGTTTTCATTACCTCAGGCAAATATTATGAATTTTCTCTTTTTCTCCCCTTGAAAATCCAGATGTTTAACGTCATCACTGCATGCTTGCAAGCTACTAGCATGTTTTCTACAAGATAGTTTGAGGTTTGAATCTACTTCCCACAGTTAAAAAATAAAATCATCCTAAGCTTTCATCATCCCTTCTCTTCCCAAAACTCATTTCAATTATATAACCTATCCAGCAATGTAGAATTCATTGACTTCAAGGAATACTGTTTTCATCTCTGTCTTGTAGAATAAAGGAGTGTGTATGCTGCTGTAATATTTTAAAAGTATGTTATGAACAATTGGGTACAGTGCTTGCGAGCTCCTACAGAATAAGAAGAGTGTGCTGAGAGGATAGTGCAGCACTCAACTTCTTTTTGCCAGAATCACACTTGATATCTTTAGCTTATATTTTCTTGCTTTCTTTTTGACTCAAATTCATCTGTTCCTATGTTTTATTTGTATTGAAAAACAAGTTTTTTAAAAAAGGGGAAGAGAACCCCACAGTTTGATGGATCTATGACAGCCACCTGAAGACTGATCACCTTGAACAGGAAATAGCTCCTCCAGTTATGGTTTGCATAAGGATACAAATGCTTTGTTTAAATGGTTCCACGACTTAATGTACGTTTTTCTGTTTTCAGACTTTCGATGCAAATGACCTGTATCAGGGTCAGAACTTCAGCAAAGTCCTCAGCTCTCTGGTTGCTTTAAATAAAGTGACTGCAGGTAAGTGCAGCTTACTCTTTTGGTGCTCTCTTGCCTTGTGTTCAACTTGCAGCAATGTATATTTATGCCCGCTGCTATACTTAGGATAAAATAAGCATCTGCAGCCTTTTAGAGGTGTGTTTCTTTTTTTGTTGTTGCATCTTGTTGTTAAAGCTTTACCAGTGGCCCTGTGGATTCTGTAGTCTCTTCTTCTGCTGCAGGAAGTTCTGCAGTGAATCTAAGAGTGAGCCTTTAAGCTAGCAGTAGCTCTTAGAAATCAAGGACCTTTGTTTAATAGTGCTATTAGTATCTTGTCCCCCTTATGGTATATCTCTGGTCCATTTCTGAAGAGTTATTTTTTTTTGCTTATTGTTTTTCTTACGTCAGGTATGACTTCTGCAAACAAATTATTAGGGCTAGTGAATGGGCATGGAGTAATATCATTCAGTTCTTTTGAAGCTGCTTATACTACTGCTTCTCATCTTAACTTCGAGTGGGAATGTTGATCACTTTCCGTGCATCTTTAAAGCTGCTACTGCACACTGACTATAGCAGTCTTCACGAGGAGGGGAAAGTGTGTCTGATCCAAACATCAGTTGAGTAATATCCACATCAAAAAGTCACTATTGGAGGTGGTCTTAGAAAGGACCCCGACTGGTTCATTTCATGGAAGTAGAGAGGTGGTAGTGTTGATATGGAAATCGGAAATCAGAAATCAAAGCCAGGTGTTTGTGCCTCATTTATAGAAGCAAAAAGGACTGCATAAGCCTTCTTGACCAGCTGTTCCTCCTAATGGTTTTCTTGGTGACTGTAGGCCTTTTGGACTGTAAATATCCTAAGTCTAGTATTGGAAGATGGCTTTCAGATCTGGGTCTGCATGAATTACATGGTTACACAGATTCTTGAGACAGATCTTTGCACAGCAGAAGGAGTGTGTGTAGTGAGCCTGAAGACTGACTGATGAAAGGCTAAGTATGTACTCTCCATTGAGTTCTTTAACTTCAGGAGGGGTAAGTTCAAGGGACCGGTTATCTTCTGTAGGTGGATAAGGGGAGAGGAACTGGTACAGGGAAGATGAGATAACTGTGAAGAAGTGTTACAAACCCTGGAAATCTTTGGATAGATGGAAGATTCTGTGAAAACTAACGGATTAAATATTTATCTAACATGCAGACTCTGTTGCTGGAGAAGATTCTTGAATTTTTTTTATTTAAACTTTCCTGGGCAATAATCCTTTTGGAAGCATGGATTAAGAATAAAGTTACGACTTTCAAGTGAAGTCCACGATCTTGTCCCATTTTTCTCCAAGCAGTTTATGAAAACAAATTTGAAGATTCTTTCTGTAGTGGACTATAATCACCACTATTTGTATTAATAGTTTGTTTTAATACAGTGGCCTCAAGTGCTTTTAAGAAAGCGACTTCAAAGAGGGAAGTTTTTATGACTTTGGTGCATGATTATACTATTTTTACAAAATACTCAAGTTAAAATGATAGTTTTAGTCTTGCACTATTTGAGTAATAAGTTTACCCTTCAAAAAATATATAAATGCAATGACTAATTTAAAAATATATACCCAAATAAGGTAATAATTGTAGGCATGGGGCATCCTCTGCCAGCATTTTTCTCCTGTGCTCATTGCTCATCTCAGTCTGGTCCTTCTCCTGCATTTTAGCTGCTATTAGATGCTGTACTGTTGAAAGGCATTCTCTTTGAGATTAATAGAGTTGTCCCATTGGATTTGATGTGAAACAGCAGATGTACGTTGCTCATCTAACTCTGTGTGGAATGGAACCTGCTTGTGTCACTTTTCTATACCAAAAATAACTAGGATTGTGTAATCACAGTTTGTTTTAGTGTGAAAGCAGCCAAACAAGGGAATATGGTTGTCTGTGTACCTCTAATGTAGGTCAAATGCTGCTGGAGGTGCACAGCAAGCTGCTAGGAGGGATTAGCAGGCCTAAAAATTAGGAGAGCAGGTAGGATGGGAGACTTGTGCAGCCTCGTGGTGTCCAAGTTTGGGACACATGGCTTATAGGGCTCCTTGAAGCTCAGATGCTCACTCAGTTTTGTTATGTATGGAAAACATGAGGGAAAAGGATGAGATGTGGTGTACAGGCAAAGGAGCAACGTTTGCCTGCTTTAACGTGCCTTGTGTGTAAGGGCCATGAGAGCATTCCTCATCCACAGGCCTGGCTGTGAGGGCTGGGGGCTGGCTGAGAACTAGTGCAGCTGAAAGCAGCCCCATCTCCTTGTAATGCCAGATAGAGCTCCATGTGGATTTCTGTGGTGGAACCCTGGCACCGAGAAAATGCTAATGCACAGCTAATGCCTCGCTTGAGCTGAGCCCCTGCCTTGCTAATACACAGCTCTACCCCCATCATGGGTAGGCTGATGGTGGGAGGGCCCAACTGATCACCTCCTACTGCCCTGATACCCAGTAGGGTGGCAGAATGAGCCCAGCCTGCTCATTCTGACAGCCCCTCGCTGTCAGTCCTTTGGAGAGGATACATCACAGGTGATGTGGGCTTTTTTTGTTTGGTTTTTTTTGAGAGAGAAGCTAGTGAAAGAGTGGAAATGTTGTTGTGGTTTTTTTTTGGAATGGGGAGGGCGATGCTGGTGTTCTTTCCTTCAAGCAAGCAGCTTTCTTCCTATTCTGCTATTCCCTTCTGCCCTCAAAGAAGAAGAAATAGCTGATCTGGCAAAAAGGATGGGAGAGGAACGTAGGAAGACAGTGGAAAGAATGCTCTAATTGAGAAGGAGATGGTGGTGGGGAAGAATTAAGAAACAGATGTGGCTGGCTTTACTTCAAGCAGATTCTATGCATTTGAATTTCTTAGCCACTAGCTAAAATGATGTTGGTTAATTACCTTTAAAAAGACTGGTAGTGGGTAGGAATGGAGAAATGCAATCCTAACCCTCCTCTTCCTAAGCTCAAATTGTTTTCCTGTCTGTACGTGAAAGAAGCTGAGAGTGTCTGGATTTCAGATCACACTGTTGCTTTAACTTTTTAAAACTGGAGTTATTGAGCAGCTATGGATACCTTAAGCCTGCTTTAAGCATGTGAGTTGTTCAGAAGTATGCAGAAAGTTACGTGCAGATCTCTCAAATTCTAATTGTTGCTTTGTGTTCCTTCCCCAGACATAGGGCTGGGCAGTGACTCTGTATGTGCACGTCCCTCATCTTATCGGATAAAATCTTTTGATTCTCTGGGATCTCAGTCTTTACACAGTAGAACTTCAAAGCTCTTTCAGGGCCAGTATCGGAGTTTGGTAAGTTCTGTAATTCAGATGTGCTGAGATGTGCTTTTTAATTTTTTTTTTTCCTTTTTACTTAATTTATAAATAAACAATTGTGTAACAAACAACTGATTGCTGCTTTTCTTATTTTACCCCTGGATTTCAAGCCTGTGAAGTTCTGTTTCTGCAGCTTTTCTTACGATGTTCTGAAGTACATGCAGCTATCTGTGACCTTCTAGGGTAGTGGGCTTTTTTTTCTTGGTGATTTTTTGCCTTTGTTTTTTCCCTTTATTGATTACCACTCCACGTTGTTTGCACAGAGTGTTTTGCAGCATTTATTTCATAGTCTGAAGTATAAGGTCTTTTTTAAAGGCAAAATCCTGTGTTTGTCACTGGTTGTACTCTCTCTGAGTTTAGGGAAGATTAACGAAAGGTATTCAGACCTCAGCAAGGATGGTACTTCTAGTCTTGGCAATACTGGTAGTTGTTCCTGTTTACTGTTATGTTTCAAGATGAATCTTTCAAACAGCCTTCAGGTAGCGGAGTGGCATGGGCAGTTGCTTCACACTGCAGCCTTAATCAGGGTGGGGTATTACGTTGAAACTAATTGTGATGAAAGGTGCTTTTAGCAACTAAAAGCTTGGTAGGGAAGGTTCCAAACTGTAAACTGCTTTTGTTTTTTCATGCTTAAAGGGGGGGCTATTTTGAACTATGTGATGATTGTTGTATGGAACTTTAACACGGTGCTATGTGTGGCTTGCTGTGTTTTCTTTGCTGTAGCAGAGCCTGTGCAAGTTCTCGCCCTAGGCCACTAATTCCAGCTCCCACTGTGCTGTTCACCACCCACTCTGTTTTGCTGATGCAACCATTTGTAGGACTAGCTGTTAGCTGGAAAACTGAAATAACAAGCTTTAAGAATTTGTATCAGATCTGAACAGTTGTGCAGACAATTGCAAAGGGATGGAGAAGCTCAAAAATGAGAAGAAAGCTGGTGACCAAAATGAGGAAAATACATCATTTGGTTTTGCTGCTTTAGATAATTAGTTTGGAACTGTTCTCACCAGATATGTTGCTCATTTGATTCTGCTGAGGAGCCACTCTGATAAAGTGAATTGGCTGTAGTTGATATAACTGCAGTGTTGCTGCTCATTTTGTGACTTTCTGCTGTTTACTAATCTTGCTAAGCAGTTTTACCAAGTGAAAACACATGACATACAAGCAGAGGGCTAAGGCAGAGATAATTGTTTGAGTCTGTGGCAATATAATCATCAGACATTTTGCAACTTAGGATATCGTGAGGCTTTCTGTATATTTTCAAACTAAGCTGAGGTGTTGTATGTAACGATGAAAAAAAAATCGACAAGGTAAGTATTTTAATCACCTCAACTGCATAGCAAACATGTAAGTGGAATTCTGTTAACCTGGAGACCTGAGTAGGATCACTTACACAGAGATTTTCTCACATGTTACATTTTTTTTGGTAATACAGGAGCTGGCCATGTGTAAAGATAGGTGTGTTTAGTAGTCTTATTCTGTCAGTTACAGTGCAGTGGTTTGTATTTGGATTACTAAAAGCTGTTCAAGTATTTAGCTTTTTTAGCTTTTTTAAAGCATAGTAGTTCATCCTAATTCTACATTGCTACAGGTAGCCAAGAACAAAATGCTGAGTTTGAACATTGTTCACTTGAAAGTAGCTGTGAGCATTTAGTTATTATAGAACAAGAAACCTCCTCATTTTTATAAGCATATGTGTACATGGACAGCTGCAAGCTGAATGTGCATCAGATTAGCACCTATTCTAACCTTGCAGCAATTGATTTTGTGAGTAGTTATTTGATATAGATTGCATAACTGATTCTTAGGCTTTCTGGAAGAAAACAGTCTTCCTCTGTGGGCAGGCCACTGTGACTTGCACGTTCCAGGGGAGGGAAGCTTTAAGTTGCAAACTGTATTTGCTATCCAGCAGTAAAGGTTCTGAGTCAAACCTAAGTCAGGACCACCACTCCTGATCTGGAATGAGTTAGAAAACTCTCTGATATAAAACTGTTGCATCTTTGTATCTGCAAAAGGCATTTTCAGTTTATGCTATATAGAGAAAAGAGTTGTGTTTTTTTTTTTAGTTAGTACTCTCATTTTTTAGTTCTGTTTCCCCATTTTGATTTGAAGAGGCTGTAATAAAGTGATATACTCTTGGGACTTGCAGATATCAAGAAAAGAAAATGAGACACACCAGAAATGGCAGATCATCCCTTGCAAATCCTTAGAATAAAAATATGCAGGAGATGCGTGTTTTGGGGGAAGAAGGCAGGAACTATTTGTATAAATGCTTCTGTTAATGAAATAATCGTTTAAATGTCTAAAGTTATCCTTCTGTATTCCTACTAGGACATGACAGATAACAGCAACCATCAGTTGGTGGTGAGAGCAAAATTTAATTTTCAGCAGACAAATGAAGATGAACTTTCTTTTTCAAAAGGAGATATTATTCATGTAACAAGAGTGGAAGAAGGAGGCTGGTGGGAAGGAACTCTAAACGGCAAAACGGGGTGGTTTCCAAGTAACTACGTACGAGAAATAAAATCAAATGGTGAGTTTTAAAGTAGATTGTATTTATACAATTCTTTATTTTGGGTAGAGGTGGGTAGTTGATTTAAAAACTGTACTGTTTTAAGTTTCAGCTTGACTGTATTTACTGAAGTTCAGTCATGGAACACATTAGTGCTTAGGAACTCATGCTCCTTGTCCAGTTTACTATGTGGATCACTCCAGGAGTTTAAGTTTACAGTAAGCATGCAGAGAAGTACAAGCTTTGTACAAGCTGTGCTCTTACACCAATCCTAGATGCTGAAAATCGTGTGGTGAGGGTGCCTTCTGTGAATGTCGTCTTCATGACTAAATATCAGAACAGACTTTTTTAACCTACTTGAACATTGATGTGGGTGACATGATCTACTTTTTGTCTCTTCCCTGTCTTTACTTGCTTTTGTTGACTGGAAACAAACCTTTTGCTCTACCCCAAGAAGCTCTGTAGCTTTGCCAGTGTAACCTTGTCATAGCTCCAACCAAAACAAATCTTTCTGGCCCTGCTGAAACATTGGGGTGACTGCTTTTTAGGCAGCTAAGACAGATGCTTAGTTGCTACCTCAGGCTGTGAGATTAAAACCCCATTTTAAAATGTATTCTTTCTCTTCCAGTTGTACCCTCTTACATTTTTTTCCCTCTTCTTCCTGGTTGCAGAATGTTGGATTCTCAAATATCTGCACCTCTGTGTTTATTTTCAACTAGATTCTCTTAGATGTACTCAGGATATCTGAAGTGTTGTGGCAGTCTTTCAGCCGTGATGAATGTTTTTTCCCCATTGTTACTCATGTAAAGCATTGCTGCATAGATCTTGTTTGAATTGCATCGGTTCTGATGTCATCAGACTCTGGAGATTGGAACCTGGGTCAGCCAGAAGGCTCCAGAATTGAAATAGCTTTTAACAGTGAGCGTGCAAGAACCAAAAGCTGCCAGCAACTGGAAGAAAGGTTGTTACAGTCTTTTGAGAATACTTGACATGGGTAAAGTGACTTTTCTAAGCAGGAAAGCCAGAAAGCTATGAAGCTGAGCTTAGTACAAAGTACAGTTCTTGCCAGTTCTTGCAGCCCTTCCTGATACCTGATTTCTAGGGCCAAAATGAACTGCTTCAAGGATTAAACATTCACTTCTCACCAATGGGAGAGTTCTCTGCTAAGATCTTCATTTCACTGTGCTCTGTAGGCATGTTTCCTATGCTGTCTTCTACTGCTGTAAGGCTGCTTGCATTCTTGGAGCACTTTGTGCTGATTCCTTTCTCTGGAAGGGAGTAAGTGCTGATTTGTAATAGTGCTAGCACAGTATGCTAGCTGATATGTGTATGATACTTGTATTGAGTGGTTGTAGAAAAGATAATGAGATTTTTGAGCAAAACATGGCATTCAGTTTTCTCATGCTAAACGATGACTTGGTAAACTTTGAGGAAATAAATTTGATTGGGATAGGAAAGGATTTTTATTTTGCAAACAAGACACTATCACGTTTAAAAGCTTGCTTTTTTTAAATTTCAGAATGGAGAGGAAAAAAAAAACTTGCTTGAAATTTGGTACTTAAGATCAAATATGCGAGTAAAAGAATAACTGAAGTAGTAGGGTTTTCTTTTTCCAGGTATATGCCTTCACTGTAAGGAAGAGATGGTCTGTTTTTCCTCTTTATCTGTTCTATGCATGCTTTCAGTTTCCACTTTTTAAACTCTCACATCTTGTCCTTTTTAGTGTTCTCTGATTGCTAGTCAGAAATATTTTAGAATGTGAGGACTTACTTTCATACTGCTGTAATGTTGCACGTGACAGGGTGAAAGATTCATACTATCAAAGTTTATTAGATATTTGATGCTGTGGCTTTACTGAGCTTTTTCCTTGCACAGAGCCAGGAGAGAATGTGAAGGCTTAGGTGGAGCCTTGTGTCTTATATTGCTGGCCCTGTCTTGCACAGGAGAAAGATTAGGAGATTTAGAGAGCTGTGGGTTACCTTTCGATGAAAGAAATAGTATTTAGCCAGAACACGAAGCACTTCTCTTAGCAACTGGCATTAGCCAATCAGTTGTATAAAAGAATTCACATGGTAGCTTTCTGGGTTTTATCACCGTAACCCATTTAATGGCATGATTATGTAAACAGGAATATAGCTTTGAAAAATGACATTTGGTGTCACAAACATTTTTCTAATTCTTCAAAGAAATTAATGTTATTACTATCTAGCCTCTATTCAGTTACGCTCTCTTGACAGTTAATGTTGGTTGCAGGCCCAGTACAAATTACTGTTAATAGTTCTTCTGCCGTGGGAAAAGTCAGTATGGAAAAGCAAAGTGCATCTGGTGGTCCCATCCTGCGCTGCATGAGGAATGGACAAATACACTTGCAGCTTAGTGAAAGAAAACAAGAATGCTGGTTTTCCTCTTCCCGCCCATGCATACTTGGAGGGATATTTTCTTCTTCTGTCAAGTGATACTCTACTTGCAAAAGTTGATTAGAGTAATACTTGAGTGGGTGCTTGTTTGGTTTGAATTTGGTCCTGTGCTGTCCGTACTGCATTTTCAGTGCTGATGTAACAGGTTTATGTAGGGACTAAAAGGCTAAAAGACAAGTAGGCAGAAGGAAAGAACATTTTGTATGGGGAAGCCTGATTAGGACACACTCGAAAAATTACAGCTTTCAGTGCTTTGAGAAGCAGCACTTAGGTGTTGGAATGGGTAAGATGCTAGGGTTTAACTAACGTTACTGAAACCTATGGATTTTGTGGCTTAAGGCCTTTATATGTTCCCAGTATGTTGGATATGGGTCACACCTGCTTGAAATGTTTATCAGGTTATGCTGCACGTTTGTGAAAGTACTCTGATGCTCTATCATAAAGAGTAACAGACAGTTGTTTTTGTTTATGCTGAGAAAGTGATATCTTACATGCAAGATCAGGATTTTCTTCTCTGTAACACACTGTGTAATGGAGCTAATTGCAACAAGACTTTTATTCCTCCTTATGAAGCAAGGCAGTGCTTAGAGGCAGGATACCAGACACGATAGATGGACTGATTTACTGTGCCTAATTCTTTTTCTACAATAGAAGCAGCCTTTGTGTTCTACAAGCTGAACGTTGATTATGGCTGTTCAGGCAAAAGGATTCTAATGCATGATTCTTTTTCTGCGTCTTCTCTTTAAACCTGAATTTAATCTTGTGTGTGGATAACTGAGTCAGCTGAGCAGCTGGTAACAGAAATTACTGTTTATTTCAGCAAAATTTTCCAATCTTCAGCAGCTTAGTAGAGGAATAATGTCAGAGAAGAGATATATTTTTACATCTTTTAAGATGACGAAGTAACCAGTATTCTATGCAGAATAGCAAGGGTCAGGCATCTGTATTGTAACATAGTTCAGTAACAAGTACTTACCTTTCTGCTCGAGTATATCAGTTTCATCAGCTCTTACTTTCATGTTCTTTGGCAAGTGGAAAACCTTCAGGTTTTTAGTGAGTCTGAAAGTCACTATAAATTGCAGAATCAGGTGGGAGCTCCCACAGAGAATGAAAATAAATCACCTATGTGCAAATGACACGTTGGTCATTCAGTGCAATGAAGCAAGTTGCAATTGTCCCATAAATGAGCAGCATTCTACCTAAATATGTAAATAAGTAGCTGGGTATAGAGTGTTAACTTAGATGTTTCTTTTGCATAGACTGTGTGATCACAAATCCGCTTGGGTTTTTGGGTGGCAGTAGCCGTCATTTGGAATTACTTGATTGCATAGCAGAGCACCTGGTGAGAGCATCAGTATTTCCAGCTGCATTGCTGGGAGCTAATGGGATTTTGTGCTCTGTCAGCTTACAGCTGACTTGAGGTGGGGGTTCTTCACCAAGGGAGTTCTCATATCATCTCAGGATATGGTATGGAGAAACGTTTTTGCCCATGTTTGGTAGCTCTAAGACCATACTGTATTTTTAGAATAGCTTCTCTGAGAAGAATTCCAATGCAATTCAGAGAAAACCCTCTTCAAGATGCCACGAGTGCCCCTGGGGACCAATCAGCCTGCTGGCTAACCCCTCTGACTAGCCAGCATAGCCAGGAGGCAGGAGGACAGCCTGCAGGCTGTGTGTCTGAGGGGCCTGCTGGGCAGCCTGCGAGAGCACTGAGTCACTGCACCCTGGGCACAGGCCCACGGAGGCTGGTGCCTTATGGATCATTCTGCTGATAGTGTTGCCTCCCTGGCCAGCCTTTCTGGCATGGGATTTCCCCATAGCTGTCCTATAATGGAGCTGACTGGGTTTTTCTTGTAAAGGCAGTTGTGGGTCTGAGACTTGCATAATTTATTCTTAATGGCCATGCGGAATCATGCTAACTGCAGTTAAATTATATATGCTTATTAAAATGTTTTTGGAATAGAAGCTTGCTTTTAAAATCAACGTAAAATTTTGTGTAGGTGTGCTCTGATGATGCTTTTTTTTTGTACTGTTTAGATTAATGTGACTTGAAGTGCTTATCTGAAGTTTGCATGTTTAGGCAAGCGTGCTTATTTGAAACAAACCAGAACACCACAGAGTCCTGACAAACACCACAGAGCATCCACACTTGCTGGTGTATTAAGTCAAATGTGAGAAATCAAAATGTGGTGCTATAGATTTTTAACTTGTGTTTTCCAGTGTGCAGCATGATCCTTGCACGAGTCAGGGGAATAGTTAAAGTGCAAGAGGAGACTTTAGTGTCTTCCCATTTTGGGAACCAGCACACAGCTTTCAGGACAACAGCTCTGATCATGAAGACACAGGCTTTCCTTCCAGAAGAGCATGTGTAGCTGAGGGTTGATTTCCTATGGGATTATTATATAAAGGCATGCATTTACTGCTATAGTAGATTCTGTTCTATAGCATGGATTTTTTTTTTTTTTTTTTAATATTTCATTGACAAAGCTTATCTTGTTTCTTTCTTTAAATGATTTTCTGAGATAGGCACGTGGTAGATCACTTTATTGTACTGTATGGTAATTCTGTTTGCAGTGTCTTGCCTCTGATATGTTTCACCTTTATTTGCTCAAGTATTTTTACGAGTTCATTAAATTGATACCAAAATTTGTTTGAAAGTGCCAGTAGTGTGTAAAACACTTTTATTTTTAATTGCAGTCTGTGATGTTTTGCCTTTAAATAAATATATTTGGAAAAAGCTGATTTTTATTAACTGACTATCTAGTTCCAGGAGAAAGAATGGAGAGGTTTTGTTTGCCTTCATTGAGATTAGTGTTACATTTATTATGATCATATGAACAATTTTGATTCCTTACCAGTAATCCCTAGCATAATAAATATGAATGTTTCTTAATGAAGCACTATTTTTTCCATCTTACTGTTTTAAAGTGGTTTGTTTGACCTCTAGTGTTAAGCTATGAAATTGCACCCCATTGACAGAAAAACACCTTTTATTTCAGAAAAGCCAGTCTCCCCCAAATCAGGTACATTGAAGAGTCCACCTAAAGGCTTTGATACATCTGCAATCAACAAAAGCTATTACAATGTGGTGAGTGAACCTTTTTTCTCCTTGTGAGCTTTTTATATACAGTAGAACCTCATTTAATTAAATGCTCTTGTCACTACAATGAAATTAAGCCCTGTCTGAACCCTAGTGTTGAAACCGGATAGGAATTTTAGTGAGTTCTCACACAAACAAGATCATTTCAGTTTAATGAAATATCATGCATATGGATTCTAAGCATGATTCAAAATTATAGTCTAAAGTAAGTGAATAATATGCATTTCTGTAATGTATTCTGCTCATTTTACTTGCTTGGCTAGTTGTTAATTTCGTTTCTCTCACCTTAATATGCAGTCGCTCTTCTCCAGCCGCTATAAATTAATGGAATTCTGATGTATGAAAATGATTAAGAATATTTTGTTCTTTTGTTGAACAAGGCATTGAACAACTGGAATGATTTACCTTCTTTGTATTCATGCTTATAAATCGACTTGGTTATTAACTTCCAGAACCTCTCCCTTGTAACTGACCAATTGATTTCATGGCAGAATTTGCATACCTAGAAAATATGGATCGCCTTTAATACGCACCCAGGGGTTCTACAGTCTAGTATTTGTACCTTTTTAGTAGATAAGAAATGTGACATTTAATCTTTAAACCTGATGTAACCATTTTGCGAAACCTTTGTTTACTAACAGGAGGTACTTTGGGAAGGAAGCAAAAACAGTGTGATGCTTTTTGTTAACCACTGCTCCCTGCTGGTCTAAGAAGAAAGCACAAGCATTCTTTCCTTTTTCTTTGAACCACTGCCTTTGGTTTTCTTTTCTCTTCATCTTATTTGTCAGGGTTAGAAGGACCATCAACATCGTTTCATGCTTTCATCTTTTGTGGCATGGATAACGTGAGCCACCTGGGGAACAGAGCAGCTTTGCGCATAGGCCCCTATTTGAAAATATTGAAGCATCCCCCTGCTCCTCCCCACTCACTTGCACGATGTATCTGTCAACAGCTGTAATTCCATGGTAAATGATGGGCTCTGATGCTTTGGCTTGTGTTCCACACCTGCTAGTCTTGATGAAAATGATTGACGAAGGCACATATCTTTGAATAGCAGAAGTAATGCTCTCATTCTACTACATGCAGCAACAAAATACTAGGTTGCTTCCCTTTTTACTTTTTCCCTGTGTATCTTCATTAGTCCATTTTACTGTCTTTTTTTTTTTTTTTTGAAGTTGCTGTAGTGTGATGGTTGTTTCTCTTTAATTGCTGTTTTGATGTTAAAACCTATGGGTTTTTTCCCTACAAGTAACTGGAATGAATGCACAAATACAGCAAAGATAAGGTTTAATTGTTTCAGTGGGTGGAAGAGTGCTCTTAGTTCAATTGAATATATATCCATTATGACATTTTAGTCAAAGTAAATTGATGTTTTAATTTTTTTTTTTTAAGCCTAAAGAGGGCTGCTAAGTCTTAGGGTTTCTCTGATAGGTCCACATGTTACATAAAGTCATAATAAATATACGTAATGTAATAAAACGTTGTTTGTTAAATTAGGATTTAGTTAAAGATCCAGTTTGACTGTGTACAAAATAAGTTAAAGCTTGCCTACTTTACTTAATAACTTAGGCCAGTTTCAGGGCTAACAGTTTACTGCATTGAAAATAAAAGAAAGTAAATGTTTGAAAGTAAATGGCTAAAGCCATAGTTAAGGAGGCTAAGTTACAAAAGGCCATGCAGTTTTGAAGCAATGTCTTTGTTTTCTTTTTATAATTGTTTCCTGAATAACATATTGCCATTATCACAGAAATTTGAGTTACTATCCACTTTAGGAATCACAGAATCGCAAGGTTGGAAACGACCTGCAAGATCATCCAGTCCAGCCACCCCCCATTCCCATTAGTACCACAAGCACTAAACTGTATCTCACAGCTCCTCATCCAGGTGCCTCTTGAACACTGCCAGGGACGGCGACTCCACCACCTCCCTGGGCAGCCATTCCAGTGCCTGACCACTCTCTGAGAGAAAAAGTTTCTCCTAATGTCCAACCTAAACCTCCTCTGGTACAACTTCTGGCCATAGCAGCTAGGAAGCAGCTAGCCATAGCTATGTTCTACAGTTGTCTGTCATTTTCTGTTGTAAATGATAAATAGTGACATTGGTGACATCACACACTCAAAACCAGGTTATCTTTCACCTTGATCAGGTGCATTGATCTGATGAGATAAGTTTCCTTCTGTTTTGACTGCTAGCTATTTATTAACTAATGAGGATCTGTCGTGTCCTGAGGGGGAAAACTGACTTATCCATAGTAATATAGATGGTAAATTAAAGCATTGGCCCTAGAATATTGTTATGAAGTCTGTCAGCAGTGAATTAGGTAATTGTTTTGTTTTCACTTTTTTCTGCACTGTAACAAATAGCTTCAATTGTTAATTTCATTGCCTTATTATTTTTGTTTAAAAAATGAAAGGCTGTGCTGTAGCATGCACTTTGTTTCCAAGAGGTAAGACTTTATTGCTGTTCTTTAAATTAGGGTAGATGGCATCTACATTTTCTTGAAACATTCTAAGTGCTTACTAGGGCAATAGAACCCAAATAATTATTTTAAGTCATTAGTATGTAGTGATATTTAAAGGTAGATTAATAATCAAACAGTTTAAACTGTGAATTGAGTTTTTTTTTCTGTTTTTGCTGTGTGAGCTGCAACTCCTGCTTTATGTAACTGGTCATTGTTACAGATGTGGTTCTTCCCTATGATAAGCATTTCATCATCAATCCACATGAAACCCGTACTAAAGGTCAAAAAAGAGTAGCTCCTAATGAACTGTAGATGAAAGAGCATAGCCTGAGTTAGAGTAAGCATTAAAAACTGTGTTGCTGTCGCTTGACAGCCAAGCATGTTCTGGGACTGGTGTGCTGGAATTCCTTGCTTCTGTTGAGTTGTGACTGTATTCCTTCATACATACTAAGACCCTGTAAACCTCATGATTATTTGTTGCTATCTTACCTAGGGGAGGATTTATGCTGCAGGTAGCACCTGTGAGTGTGTTGGTCAGCCTGAGGAAAAGAATCAAAGGACAGTTAAGAGGAAACTCAGGAAGTGGTAGGAGAGGCTTTGCTAATCTCCCCTTCTGGGAAAACAACTGCATAGGCTCAGGAAAGTGCTTAAAATGAAGATGAGACTGCTTTCTTCTGTTCTTCATCTCCGTGTAAACACGTTCATGGATTTGCAGAACTCCACTTGAAGTTTGTAACACAGATGGTGATGGTCTCTGTGCTTTATTAGTGGTGCCTCGCAGTTGGGGTTGCTTGAAAGTATGGGATGCGTTTGGTTTGTTGTTACACTTTGCCTAGCTGGAGACTGTGGGTTACTGGAGTGACTGTGCTGCAGCATCTTCTCCATTAAATGCTACAAGTCTGAACAGGATATAATATGAACCAGACTTGTTGGAAGTGTTTCTAACTTGACCATGTAGAAGTAATTCAGTAGCCTGCCGCTGAAGAAGCGATCGTATTATTGCATGTTATTCCCTGAGGACAGAATGGGTTATGTTTTATTTTTTCTTGTTGATTCCTTGAGAATTTAAAACTTGGCATCCTGCATAAAAATTATCTTGGCTTAGAAGATAATTGTGTGGAGTCTAAGCAGCTTTTCTAAAAGCTGGTAAAGAAATGGACAGCATTCTCTATGGTATGCTTTTCAAGTTGGAGCAAGTATTTGTATTTATCAAAGTTCATGAATGTTTGAGAGGGCACTGGAGATAATGGGATACTTTTATGGTGCTTTACAGTGCTCCTCTTGAGACCTCTTTTAGGGAATATAGTCTGAGTTGCATGATCCAGGGACATTAGACATTGACTGCTTTTGCTGAACATGTGATGCTCCACTTGAATGCTTTACTGCTTGCATAAAATGAGAATGTGCTGCAGGATCATGCCCAAGTGTCGCTATGAAATCTGCCTTTTTTCCCTCTGTTGGAAGGTGATCAGCTTTGTGCAGGTCATTTAAATCCATTTTTGGGTGGTAGCTTTCCCCTTAGGGAAATGACTGGGGTTTTGTGTGACAGAATTGTTAACCAAGCTTGAATTTTCCATGCCTTGTGATTGAGAGAGCTTGTGCTCTGTGAGCTCAGTTTTCTGTGCCTGCCATTCATCAGTGTTACGGATTGTAAAAGCTGCCACTTCAATGCTGCTCTTTTGGTACCCAGACTTATCTGTGCAAATGTTGTGGTGGAGCTGTGGAAACAAGGTCTTCGAGGTCTCATGGGGTCTTGCAGCAGCCAGAACACACGGAAAACAGGAAAGGGAAGAAAGGTGATTATCAGAGTTTACGGGCAAGATGTGGATATGAGGAATATAAGGGTGCTCTGGTGCCAGAATACAGAATTGCAATACGGAGCACTTAATGCTTCAAAGCATAGCCAAGGATTTTATCCCTGTTGCTTCGTCATGAGGTTGGTAAGTCAAGCTGGAAGGATGCAGAAGTTCACAAAACGGATGTTTTAGAGTGATGTCAGCAAGATGTTCTCTTTAAAAACATATTCAATTAGAAGTGTGTTGTATGGAAAAAAGGGAAATAGGCTGAATGTACTTTGAGAGGTGTTTAAAGCTGTGTTTATGTCTGAACTATTGTGCAGAATAATGTAAAGCAGTGTAAGAATATCTACTTCAAAACCTGTGCAAAGTATTTTTATTTAGGTTTTTTTTTTTCCAATTAACTTATCTGGTGGATACTTTTACTGCTTAAGTTTTCCCATTTTTCCCCCTCATCCTTTACATCTTTTTCCTCCAACTACTTCTACATATTCCAAAGAAAGCCTTCAAATAAAAATCCCAGTGAGCACAGGAAAATAATTGAGCTGTTAGACATGAAACTGATTTTATTTCAGCCTTCTCAGAAAGCTGTTTGTAGCAAAGGGTGGAAAATACTCTGAGAAAATGGAGCACAGTCCTTCAGTGTCTCTAGCAAACTTGTTGGTCTTTTTGTCTTTTCATGTTTTCTGAAAATGTTGTGTTTCATCAGGTTGCTGTGTTTTTGTCCTTGCCTTTGTCTCCTTTTCCCAACTAATGACTTTAGCAGGAACATTTTTGTTGGAAAGGCTGTATTTGAAAACTTGCATTTGGTTTTGAACCATATGGATCACAAGTACTTTTATGTTCTCATGTTAACAGCTGACTTCTTTTGTATTATATTTGTTTTAGAAAGCAGGATTTAATTTATTTTATGATCAATGGAAATGTACTTTTCTCTTGTTTTTCTTGCTTAGACCAGAGAAGACTAAAATCGTTTTTAGTGGGGTTTTTTTTTTGAGTAATTTTTGCTCCTATGTTGTATTTCATGCTGTAGATTCCTATTTAATAGCTACAGCTTTCCTTGTGACATTCTTCTGTCATCATGTTTAGCAGAGAATGGAGACATTTTAATCTTCAGCTCAGGATTCAGATTTCCAACAAAAGAATGAACTCAAAAGTGGTCTCTCTCTTTCTCCAAATGAATAGAACCATTCAAGGAATAAGCAGAATCAATGACACCAATGAAAGAAACAGTGAATTCTTCATTGACATACTGAACTATTTAAAGTTATTTCATCAGGTTTGCATTTAGGAATGAATGGCTTTTTTTATTTCCTAAGAAAGAGTATTGACTACAGCACTGAATAATGCACTCAATTACAGTCGTTACTATAAATGCTGAAATGAGATATTGCTGTAGGCCCAGCAAATATGGCGTGTAGCAAAAAAGAGGTTTGTGGTGTGGCTTATGAGCAATAATTCCCAAAAAGTTTTTGAAACGTACCGTGTCTTATGTTTTTGTATTTAATTCTGATGAATCTCCTGCTAGATCACTCACTTTTTTGAAGGCAAAAAATAATTTGTCTGCTAGAAGCACTGTAGATTTAGACGTGGTTCTCTTAAAGTGGGCTGCTTAGAAATGACTCATTAAAATGTTCTCTTGTACATAATTGGGAGTATTCCAGTGTTTGATTCACATTCATCCAAAAAGCAAGTGTATACTGTACATTGTAATTTTTTTTTTTTAATTTCCTTGTGGTACTGTATTTTATTGCACTCTTGATGGAAGCTTGAGCATCCTCGTTTAAAAAGAGCACTGCAGCAATACTAATCATATTGCAAAGTGAAGTCGTCAGTTATTTGATATTTATCAATCTGGCCTTTTAGCTAGAACAGCGCGTCTGAATAAGCAAACTCTTTGCTAGTAAGATAAATTGTGCTGTAACTCAGACTGAGAAAACAAGTCGTTTGTTTCTCTTAAAACTTCTAATGTGCTTTGCCATTTTCTGATCTGTGACCATTTTGAAGTGCACAGGAGGAATAATTACTCCTGGCTCTGGAAGGACACTCTCTCTTTACAGTAAAAGTTAGCATAATGTAATTATTGTTAGCACTCCTGGTGTGTGGCTGAAGGGTAGCTTGTGTGGTTGTGTGTGTTTTTCCTCTTTGAGTTCTGTAAGTATATAGCAGTTAATGCTTTTCTGCTGATGCTAAATGTCTGAATATAAGAGCGTTCTTTTAAATTTTCCCAGTGCTAAATAAGTATGTTTTAAGGCTGGTATTAGTTTGAATGTTTTTGAAAAATACCCATTAGCCATTGTCATTTATTGTAGGTGCTACAAAATATATTAGAAACAGAAAATGAATATTCTAAGGAGCTACAGACAATGCTTTCGAACTACCTGCGACCATTACAAGCCAGTGAAAAGTATGTGAGTTTGTTCTAGCTTTTAAAATAAGGCTGCAGATGACTTGGGTATTGGGGAGGGCTTATGTCATCAAAACTGCAGTTCTAGTGTTAATGTGTGTTTTCTTGTGTGGACTGAGATCCTTGAGGCAGGGGGTTCTGTCTCAAGTTGCTCTCATTCTTCTTGCTTGCTGACTTGGACAGGTTGATTCTGGCTCTTGATCAAAGGATCAGTAAGCATTTTTTTTTTTTTAATGTTCTAGGTTTTGTTTAAGAACAAATACTCAGTAACTGCAGATATAAACACGTTTTGTTTTACCTTGGCAACAGGTTAAACTCGACAAACACTTCATACTTAATGGGAAATCTGGAAGAAATAAGTTCTTTTCAGCAGATGCTTGTACAGTCTTTAGAAGAATGCACCAAGTAAGTACATTGCACACCAGATGGTGTAGAATTCTAACAAGCAAATATTTTATTATTACTTAACTTGTGTAAATTAACATTTGAGATGAAGTTTTGTACCTCTCACTGTAATGGTAGTTGCTACAGCAAAAAAAAAAAGTAATAGATGTGTAGATAATCATTCTTTGCTGGTACAGGTAAATATTGGCCCTGGGATGCAAATGCAGAGGTAGGAATTTTAAAATAGTTAGGAAACAATTTATAAGTTTCCATAATGCAGTTGTGTGCTAGCAAGGAGGTGATAAAAGTAGTGTGGTTTTTTTTTTTGTGGAGGAAGGATTTTTTAGGTCTCTTCTTAAGAGTGAAAGAGAATAGAGGTAGCTTATGCTGTAATGGAACAGTGGAGGCAGGGAGGAAAGTGAGTTGGTTGAAGGACTCCATGAAAAGATTTTTGGTCAATACATTTTTGTCCCAATCAATGGTAGTCATCAGATGTGCTGGGAGATGCATATAGAATAGAAAGAAAAATCTGAAAAAAAAAAAAAATCAGTCTTAATGCCTGTACTGTATTATCTAAGAATCATGAAGCAGAAAGGAAAAGTAGCATGAAGAATGGAAACATCTCTTTTCCTTCTATAGGTTAGATGAGTTGTAGCAGGATGTTTTTCACTATTCCTGCAGTGAAGGTGTAAGAAAGATGAACATCACATTTGTATTTTCCCTATAGGTTTCTGCTGTTGAAACTCTGCAGAAAGTGTAGTTCCTCTTCTTAAACTTGAGTTCTTTTCCTTGCTTGTGTTCTGATTTTGCCTGACCACATGATGAGCTACTGTGACTGCTAATCCAAATTTGCTAGTTTCCTGCCAAATCACTCATTTAAATTGCTACTAAAGGCTGAGACAAGTTTTAGTCTTTGCAGGGGAAATACTGGAAGCACTTTGCTGCGAGTACGAGAGAATGTCTTGGACAGAGGAGAGAATACCTATCTTGGCAGCACTGATTGTACTCCATGTATTTTATTTTGACTTCTTCCTCCTCTGTTCCTCTAAGCTGATCTGTGTTAAGAGGAAGCTTTGACAAAGTGTAAGTTGTTTCTCCTCTAGACATAAATTTCTGTCTGGGCACATTGCTGACTTCGGATCTCACGTCCTCCTACCATCTGGCTTCTCTCCCTCTCTTTTTTCTCTAGACAGCTTATACTGGGGAGAATGGAAAGGAGCTAATGATTTAGCAGTGGAAGGGAGGCGTTCTCAAAATGATCTTTCTTCCATGCTGCATTTGAGTTAGAAGGGTATTCTTTTTGGCAAGTTCAAGTCAAACACGTAGCTGACCAAGTCTCAAAGCTCTGAGGATGACTGTATGTCCACGTGCTTAGATATTTTGTTGTCTTTTCTCTTATCATTTCACTTCCTACTGTTGAATTCTTTTTTACTATTATCTTGCTTCTGTAAGTCACAAGTTAAGAAAATGAGCAGACTGTCATCTTCCAAAGCTTTTGATTAAGTAGCTTTTAAGAAAAATATTGCCTTCAAACAAATGTTAATGCTAGCTTCATGTTAACTTGATATGTAAATTAATGCTTTATCTTTAAGCTTAAAGCAGTGTTTTAGAGTTCTTTCTGTGATTTAACTCATGTTAGCACACTCTTTCATAAAGTCCTTTGTTTTTCTTCTGGGTAAGTGAAATATTAATGTAATAAATTAGGAAACATAATGGATCATAGTAGGTGGGCAGAGGAAGTGATGCTTCAGGATTATTGGAGGGTTACTTCAAATGTTTTAAATTATTTTCTTTTTATAAATATGCTGGTCCTGCCAAGTTATATTTTCAGTTCAATTTTCATCATAGCATATCAACTTGAGCATCCAACTTCCTCCTGTTTTGAATCTAATCCATCATAATTCTTGTAATGTAGAAGAATGCTTGCCCTGCTGCCCTGGTTTTTGTCATTTTGCCATGTTTTTTTGGCTGGTAAACCTGTTCTCTAAACTCCCAGGCTGCAAATAGATTTATCATTTTCTTTTATTTTTGGCAGGGAGCTTACAGTGCCATCATTCAGGCACTTCAAGTTGCAGCATCCGGCGTGTTGTTCTGTTTATTTTTTTATCTTAAACTTGTCAGAGTGACCAAACACAGATGTTCTGCCACTTGTGGTGTTGCCAGCCAACATAGCTCAACAGATTCTTGCTCTTGTGTTTGCGAGTTTGAATGTTAGTTAAGTTCTGAATTCTGCTTGCATCTATTTGTCATTTTAGTTCTCTTTAATAAATCTTTGAACGTTGAACTTCCTGGTGCTTTCTTTTTGCCCACACCTTGTTGACTTCTTCTGATCTTCATGTTGTTAAACATAGGTTGCTTTCACGACACTTCATGCTGTAGTTTTTGGATTTTGGTGTGTTTTGGAGGAGAGAGGCATTTGGATACAATCAGATTCTGATCCTGTGTCCCACTTTCCTCCTGCCTTGCCTGATTTTCCAAACCTGAAAGCTCTGCTGGTGCACTGCTGAAGGTTTGTCCTCTTTGAACTTGTCCGGGTTGGTTTCACTGCAGTACAGCTGCTGTGCTCTTGTGCACTGCTCCATCTGTTGCAGTTTTGGGATTTTTTCTGTCTGGCTGCCTGAATGCTAGGGACTGGGTAGCAGATGCTTTGAGGTTACGTCTGCCTTTGCAGTTTCTTTTTATTGTTTAGCAAACAAAAACAGTGTATTAAATGAGTCTAACTAGCACTGAATGAGAATCTTCTGACTGATCGCTTCTTTTCAAGTGTGCTTAGTTTTGATGGATGTCAAAGCACAGCAATGGCCAAGGCAGAGAGGTGCTGCTGGAGTCTTCAGCTTACAGAAGAGGATTTATGATGGCAAAACAGAGTAAGAGTGCCCCAGTCTCTTGAAGGAGTGGTCCATTGTTCTAAAGCTCTTTTCAGATCTGTGATCCAGTACCAAATCTGAGCAGTGTGTCAATGAACAAATCTCTCTCTATTTAATTATATCTGGGCTGATCCACGTGATCTCTACTGTTGAAATGCTGCTCTTTAGATGTTTTTGGAGCAAGTGGTTGATCAGATATCTCTTGCTGAAAAAAACTTGTCCATTCACCTGAGAGTACAAGCTGTCAGTCTGTGGCTGCAGTTCTCAGGACAGGTTGTCTGGTGATGCCAGTATCAGCCAGAGTGCCTATGTATTATCTTCTCTGTAGCAAACTAAAGGCCAGCTGCTTTTTATGTAGCAACATACTTATCTTCCTGCACCATCACACCCATAGGGTTTTGCCTTCTTTTTCCTCACATCCTCCTCCTTGCTCATCACAGCTATGTTTCTCATCTTGTTCTGGGATGGTCCTGGAATGTTATGGGGATTAAAAACGGGGTGGAGGGGAGGAAAAAGGTCTAGTTGTGAGCAAGAGAATGCTTCTCTGTAACCCAAGACTAATGGGTATTTCAGAATTGATTCTGAGTGTCTGTCTATCTTGTCTGTTAAAAGTTTGTTCTAGTAGCTCCTCTTGCTTTTGGTTATTGTGACTATCAATAAATAAGGCTATCCATCTTAAGTGAACTTGAACACGTTACCTTCAGCTTGTGTGAAGGAAGCATGCAACTTCACTGATCTTAGAGAAGTAAGGTAAACAGGTAATGAAAGGTATGACACTGAAGAGAGCACTGAAAAGTAGATTGATAGATTACAAGTTGAGTAGTGTCTCAGTTTGTGAATAATAACAGCTTGTAAGGCTGTGAAAGTTTTCCTTATTTTAGCAACCCTGTTCACGTCATCTCCCCAGGCTTTGCAGTTGTTTCACGTTCCTTTCACAAACTGCACCTTTGAAGTTATTAGCTAACTTCATCATTTAATCATATTTGTAGACTTTCGCTTACTTTCACTCTTGCAGTTGTAACAAATGAAGTTAGCATTGATGCTCAAAGCCTTTCAAAGAGATGGGAAGAGAGACAGGAAATTTCTTGTGGAAGGAGATGGAGAGGAATAGAAAATGCTGCCCAGATAATTCACAGAATTGTAAGGATTGAAAGGGAACTCAGGAGATGATCTAGTCCAACCCCCTGCTAAAACAGATTCCCTAAATTCCTTAATGGTTAGTCTCCAGTTTGCAACAGGCTGTGTAATTGTATGTGCAGGGACATAGATGACAGTGTGTGACAGTCTTCTGGTAACCATACAACAAGGTGAGGTTTAGAGTTGTAATCTTATCCTAGCAAAATAGAAAGCTTACAGACAGCATGAGATGCTGATTACATTATCTATATTTCTTTAAATTTGCTTTTGTTAACTTGTTATAATTTGTCTGGATTCATCAGTTTACAACAACCTTTACTGTGGTGTTGTAAAAGTCAGTGATGCGAAAACTAAGGTAAACTTCAGAATACACAGGATACAATTCTGTAGTGTTGCTGTTTCTCTGCTGGCTGCCAGTCAAGCTTCAGTCCATCACTGATCATGAGAAGTAATCGTGACTGAGCAACAAAGTAATCTTCTTTCTTACTGCTCTCAAGTTATTTCGCTATAATAGAAACCCACTTTAAATCTGGGAATGGAGCTGGTAGCTGTCAGAGACAGCAACAAAAAATAGTAATTACTCAGTAATTTAGATGCTGTTGTACAATGATTATGCCTGTATAGGCCTTGTTAATGTTCTCTAATCCTGTAAATGAAATTAAACATGTCTTTGGTTTTCTTATAACTGAAGCTTTTTTCATTCTTTAAATATATCTACATGTATATATGCGTGCCTATATTATGTATATTGTTATGCTTACAATTCCTTTTTAGTTGAGGTATTAAATGAGAGAATATTTAGATGCCAACATAAGAACAAATTATAAAACTGTGCTCTTTATTGAATTGGAGCACATAATTACCAGAAGGTTTGTATGATTTGGTGACAGGCATTAAATTGTTGTTTTTCAGGCAATTAAAGGAAGTGGAGATAATTTATTAATTACTCTTGTAAAATTAGTAGAACACTCTCAAATAGTGTATGTAGTTGAGAAGTTGAAAGGAATGAGTGGCCACCCCCTCGTGAAGTCTGTTGATTATCTTAATTCAGCAAAGAATACGTAGCATAAAGTTACAGTGCATGAGCAGCATGTGAGAGAGAATAATATCGATCTTTCTTTCTGCTAAAAGAACAGCAGGCTGAGGAGACACAGATGTCTGCTTATTGTGAGAAGCCATAATTCACTTCCCACCATTCCCCACCCCCTCCCCCAGGCAATACAGAGACAATTTTTACCATTTTTAGCAGTTGTTCATTGGGGCCTCTTACTATTTAATGCTGAGCTATATTCCCTCTGTGTGTCTACAGAGTCTGAGATTCTCACTGCTTCTATTGCTTGAAGAATGTATTGTTAGCTCATGCTTAGATTTATTAAAGGAGACTGACTGCTAGAAGGGAAATCCTGCTAGGATGGCTGTGTGAATAGCATCTCTCAGTCTACTGAGGAATGCCCCTGGTTTCCCCTAAATGCCTGCAGAAGCTGCTGCCCTGTTAATGTCAAAATGAAAATTTTATTTCAAGAGAAATAGTTACAGTAAAATACGGACCCTGGCTTTTGATGTAAGGAGCACCTGACCGTGTGATCAAAATGCAGCCAGCATGGTGTGCTAACAGGGAGTTCAGTCAAGATTTTCTGGATGTCTTCAGGTGAACGGTGTTATTGGATAAGGTTTCCCTTGTCTCACATCTGAACATCTCCACAGTCAATTTTGATTCTTCAGCGACTTGGTCTTCCTTTGCCGTACAGAGGGACTAGACAGCATCTCTCTTCAGATGGGAAACACTATCTGTTGATATTTAGAAATGTTACAAGCATATTCAGGACAGTGAGATTTTTGATTTTGAAATGAAAAACAGTATTCTACCTGAGGGAATTATCTCAACTAATGTCAGCATGAGACCACCAAACTGTGCTAATGGCAGTCTGTTGGGTGTTTGCTGAGGACTCATCTAGCTTCAGAGCAATGTGAAATACTGGATTTCAGAGTAGCTAGATGGATGAAACAACATCCATCCTTACTGTGCTTGTTAGTCCGATTCATTCTTTATCTTAATGATGAGTTCTGAGAGCGGTGGTGTGGTAGCAGCAAGAAAGCAAGACTAGACAGACTTCATACTTCCCATTGGTGTACGTTCAACTTGAAGATTTCTTTATATTTTTGAAAAGTGTGAGAGTGTTTTTTCCCTATGTAAGAAGTATGCAGCTTAAGGAAATGCTAAAGTAGAGCAACTCTCACAGTCTTGTTTTTGCTGTTTATACTGATTCAGAATCAGAGTTCGGGCTTTCTGCAAATTGTTTACGCTTGAAGCTGTTGTGATTCAGTCATCTTTGTATATTTTACACTCGAGATGTTTTCTTACTGCAATTTGAAATGATAGTTTCTGCTACAACCTTTTGAAAAACAGGTTGTATATTCATACTATCTTTTCCTGTCCCCACCACCTCATCACTTACATGGAGAAAATGCATGTGTATCTTTCAGACAAGCACTATCAAAACTGATTAGGTTCACCAAAACTGTGAAAGTAACCTTTTTTTCTAAATACTGTTTCACTTACAGAATGTTTTTTTTTTTCTTCTGAAGTAACTAATGCTACTGTTACAATGTTATTCAACAAAAAGAATTCTTCTGCACAGAAAGACTACGGAAAAAATTTACTGCTTAGCAGTTGTGATTCATTCTAGCATGGAAGACAAAGTATGAGTTACAGGAAGTATTTCTATATTGGTGGTAAAGCAGCATTTTTGTCCCTGTGGCAAATGAGCCATAAAGGTGTTTTATGATGCTTAGAAAACAAGATGAGGGATGATTGTGTGAAAACTACCTGTAGTTGCTCCATAACTGGCTATTTGTTCTATCAGAGCTTAATGTGGTACTTTTGTGAGATTTTTAAACACGTCACATTTGTTGTTGAGGATAGAGCGAGAATCCTATTGCCTACTTGATCCAGTTTTGCTGAAATGCTGTAATATTCATTTCAAGACTTGGCATGGTGTGTACATGGATAGTGACAATAGATACATTGTGTAAAAATCAAGCTCCTAAAAAATATGCTGATTAATTCTTGAAAAAGGCCAGCCAAGTGAATGTCTTACAAATATGTCATATTGTGCCTACGCTTTGAGGATGTAACCAAGCCTGGCAGATACAGGATTGAAGCTGTAAAGAATAAAGATGATGCTGTTGTTTGCTGGCTGATGTCCAGAGAAACCCGTATGTTCATTTAAAATAATAATAAAGAGGTTAACATCGTATAAACTGGGTGGACTTCACTCACAGGCACATACTGTTTAGCCTGGGTTTAACTTTTTTCTTTGGTTCATATTAATGTAACTTCTTTGTTACTCCATTTTTAGGTTGCCTGAAGCTCAGCAGAGGGTTGGAGGATGTTTTCTAAATTTGATGTCACAAATGAAAAGCTTATACCTTGCCTACTGTGCCAATCATCCATCAGCAGTAAATGTTCTCACAGAACATAGGTATGTTTACCTTGTGGTCTTCAAAGAGTTATACAGGAAAAGTGTATAGCAGGTACTCGTGTTGTAAAGACTTGTCTTTCATTGACATGCATTTGGTATAGTAGAACTTGTTTGGGAAAAACAAACAAACAAACAGCTCATAGCTTGAAGCTGGTTTGTGTCCTCCTGGCCAGCCTGTAACTTTCAGCAGCTTATCAGTTCAGAAAACTTTACCATTTACAAAGCACATACTGAACTTTGGATATGTAAAACGAACTGTATTCATTGTCGTCATCTGCATTTTAAGGATGTAAAGATTAAATAAATAAATAAAGGTTGTTTGAAGTAGGCATAATTAACATGTTTACTAGTAGGCTTTTAATGCAGTTGGCTAATTGTAACTTATCTTAGTCTGTGCTTCTGTTAGCAGGTAGTTAACTTTGTAATAGAATAATAGAATGATAGAATAGCCCAGGCTGGAAAAGACCTTGAAGATTGTGTCCAACCACACCCTAACCATCCTACCCTAACTCTGACAACCCTCCAATAAATCACGTCCCTGAGCACCACATCCAAACAGTTTTCAAACACATTCAGGGATGGTGACTCCACCACCTCCCTGGGGAGCCAATTCCAGTGCTTTACAACCCTTTCAGTAAAGAAGTTTCTCCTGATATCCAGCCTAAACTTATCTGGTGCAACTTGAGGCCATTTCCCCTCGTCCTGTCACCAGTGAAAAGAGACCAGCCCCACTCTCACCTTTCAGATACTGGAAGAGAGCAATAAGGTCTCTCCTCAGCCTCCTTTTCCCTAGACTAAACAACCCCAGTTCCTTCAGTCCCTCCTTGTAGGCCATATTCTTCAAGCCCTTCAGCAGCCTTGTTGCCCTTCTTTGGACCTGCTCTAGCACATCAGTGTCCTTTCTGTACTGAGGTGCTCAGTGATATGCCCTTGGGTTGCTTTTGAATAACACGAGGAGTGTGAGCTTTTCAGGTTCTTGTAATTTTTATTTCTTGTGTGTAAGATGTAGGATGCTGAGTTAACAATGTAGAAGTTGCACAGCTTTGGAACTGACCTTGAATTTGTATAGAAAATAGCAGAATTATATCTAGGATGGAGTGTTGAGGCCAAATTTGATTTTAAATCTACTTTCCTAGAATTTCACTGTGAATTCTGATGAGCACATGCTGCAACAGCTGTTAACTTGATGCTGTTTGTTTGCTTGTGATGCAGTATGGAACCGTGACCTTCTCTTGAAGGTCAGACACTCTACACATTCTGGCATCTTACCTGTTCTTTTTCCTTTTTTTTCCTCTTTTTTGTCTTGATGTGTTGGACCAAAGTAAAAATATTTTAATATTCTTAACTCTGCCTAAGTAGAGAGTAGTGTAATGGTCGTGTTTTCTATGCTACTAAGCTCTTCCAAGAACTCACATTTTATTTTAACAGCAGCAATTTGCATCATATTTGTGACACCTGTAATAATACTAATCCAAAAGCTCCCAGCTACCAAAGACTGAGCTATCACGTACGTTACTAAAGCTTTTGTTTTACTTTGCTTTGAAAAATAGAGCTGCAAGTTCACGTTGCAATCCAGGCTGTTTTTAGACTGTTTAGTTTTTTTTTTTTCTTTTTTTTTGTTTTCAGACACAATGAATGAAAATTAAGACAATTTATAAAATAGTAATGAAATTCTAACAGTGTTTTCTTTCAGATGGCTTATTTCCAGCACCATTATCAGTAAATACTAAACGTGTTTAGATGATTCAAGCTTGTTCTTTTAAAATAATCTTAGGTTTAGAGCTGTTATTTGTGCCTTTATGCTCTTTTCACACAGAGATCTGGGCTTTAATCTGTAGGTGGGAGGTGGCAAGTGATTGTGAAGTGAGCACATGCATTTAAGAGTTTGAGGCGTTTGTCAAGGATTATCTTAATTTTCAGAAACCTGTCTCCTTTGTTTTCCAAAAGTTGTATTTGAGAAACAGTGATAAAAATGTGAGGGAGGTAAGTGAATTGTTTCCCAAATTGGGAAGAGAGCTGTTTAGTCTCCTCTGTGTTGCTTTGGGCATGGGTTGTCCTATGCAAAAAATAGCTCGTGATCTGTAAAGTCAGCTTTATGTCAAGCCCTGATGGAGTCAGTACTATGGGGTAATTAAGTAAATCAGGTGTGGGAATGAGCTCACAGCAATTGTGTTGTTTATAGGAGATAGCTCAAGGGGGAAGAATTTTTGATGAACAGTTGTTTAATGCTACTGTGTACCAATGCATGAGTCAAAAGAAGTGAATCTTTTTTTTTTAATTACCTCTGTTTTATTATTCTGAGCCTTTCAGTTTTGTTGACTGCCAATGCTATAGGTAGCAAACAGCTCAATGAAAGTTTCTGCTTGAGGCAGTTGCCTTGAAGAAACCAGAAAATGGCTTTAAACTGTTTTGCACTTCTCTCTTCTCCAAATACAAGATACCTTGTAATTACATAATTTTAAATGTGGGGACAAGGAAGACACTTTTGCCTGGAATAACCTGATCGAAGGCACAGAGAAAATGAAAGCAGTCAGCACTGTCTCCTTGTTTAACTAGTTGAAATGACATTATTATATCGGAACATTCCTCATAAACTTCAATGTAAAAATTACTGTGAGAAGATTTGAGGCTTGTTGTGACTGTAATAGTAATGAAACAGACACATGCATTTAATACTTGATTAATACTAAAATGAGATCTTCCAGGAATCTCATAGGGAGGTTTGGACTTTGAGGAAATGATGATTTGTTTGCTCTTCCTGTGGTATGGCTATGTGTTTTAATATGAATTAAAATGTGGCAGAGAAATGTTTCAATTCTTGGATTTGAGTGTCATGTTTCCAACAGCTGTGCTTTTCAGTGGCACGTTAGAGTGAGGAAAAGGGAGCAGTCTACAGCAGTTTGATGCAGAACATAAATTCTTATTGTCTACTTCAGATTGTTTCTTGCCATGAACACTGCGTGCTTCGTAAAGTGACCGTGTGCCTTAACTGTGAAACACACTGTACAGAAAAACTAGTAGGTAATTTTAAGTCAGATTCTTAAATCACAAAGTTAGTAACTTCTGCAGTTGATTAAATTCATTTAAATCATTAAACTCACAAAACCAAACCCGAATCTGGGTGGTTGCTCTAGGTGCTCTCATTTTGAAGTATTAACTGTGCTGTTTCTTTAGCCAGATAGATCACTAATATCAAAATTCTGTAAGCAGTCATCTGCCTTGATGAAATATGCCACCTATGAAGATCTTATATCACTTTTTGGACTTGGAAGTGTTCTCTTTGAACAGTGTTGTAGTACCTGTTGAGAGGTCTTGACATCTGGTAAAGAGTCTACATATATGTAAATACATATAGAAACTGATACTAACTTATACAGAATTGTTTTGATCTTATAGTTGAAAGGTATTTTTGAACAGCAATTTTATAAACAAATGGTAATAATTTTAAACAATTCTACTTGAGATTTAAAAAGAGGCATTCAGTGAGAAAGTGACTCTTCTTCCCCCATGCTGTTCCATGTGGATGCCAGCCTGATGTTTCCTGTTTCTGTCGTTTGTGCTTCTCTTTCATATCTAAAAGCAAGCATGGGTAGTCTTCTCCTTTGTAGAAAATAAGGTGTTTGTGCATGTATACATGTATGTTCTTATGTGTGTGTATAATACAGAAAGGGATTAATCATTGTACTGCTGTGTATGAGCTTTTTCATCTTCAGACATTCAAAGCCACAAACATCTTTCATTTCCTTAAGTTAATTATTAGTAGTTAAACTACTAAAATGAATACGAAAGAGACTTACATGTGCGTGAGTACACAGAAGTAGGAACGAAACCTAATACATCCATACGGGTATTCAAATTCCACAGCTTAAATGTTTCTGAAGTTACTTGCCTCTGACAGCAACAATAAAAACAGCAATCTTCTGCTGTGTGATTTCTCTTAGGGTTGGAGCATTATGAGCAGATTCTTGTTTCTGGTTCCAGTTATATTATCCAAGTTCATAATAATTTTTCCAGCCTTTCGTGCAGTCTTGAAATTTTATAGGTACCTTTTGGGGACTTGCTTCTGAGCCATGGCGTATTTTTTTCCAGAATTAAGATTCTTTTGGTCTAAAAACTCAAGAATGTTAAAGAATGGAGTAACTTTTTTGAGGCTTGTCACCAGATTTTGTAATTGTGTCTTAAGCCACAGGTTAGAGCTTGAGAGATGGAGCTTGCCAGGCATAAGTACATGGTGACCCTTGCTGAGATCAGTGTTCTGGCTTCCACCATTGTGTGTGGTTCACGTTTCCTTCTCCAGCAGCCATCACAGTAGCTGTGGTGCCACTGTACACAACCTGTATTTTCTTTACTGCTTTCCATATCAGTCAAAACTCTTTGGCAGCGTTGTATGAGATATCAGTTTCACTATCTCATAGTTCTTCCTGAAGATCCCAGTTCAAGTGCAGGGTTAGGTGGTCAACTGTAATAATGATATGTTATTTTTTGGAGAAAATTGGTCAAAGCTGTACCGCCTTAGGGCATTAAATGGTGTTATTTGCCACTTGTGCTTCTAATCAGAGAAATAGGCTTGCCTTCTAGTAGGAGAAGGAAACAGGATGAGCAACCTAAGACATGAAAGAATTCCCTGCAAGCCAATAAAAAACACAAACAAAACGGTTGAATACAAAGTACAGTAATGAATAATTGCAGAGGAGTGAGGAGTCCCAGGAACTTGAGCTGTTACCTACCCCTGGGGAAGATCAGAAACCACAAAGTTCAGTGCAAAGGCAGGGTCCAGCAAAGAAAAAGAGGAGGCAGTAGCTAGCATGGGAATGTATGCAGTCTATCCAAAATGACAAAGGATGAAATATTTAAGTATAGAATTACCTGGAAGGTGGATAATGTAATGGTGGGTGGGGGTACTCTCAAAGCCTTACTTGTCTGGTGGTACCTTATAACTCTTCTTAATTAAAGTCATCTTAATAAACATGGAGAAAATGCAATAAGCAGTAAATATGTAA